AATGGCTTAAATGATCAAGTTCAAGGGCAAAGATTTTCATACTAGGTTTAAAAAACCCTGAACTGTATGTTGTTTAACACAAGAATAAAATTTGAAAGCAAAGGTTTAAAAATATGTATCATATAAACACTAAAAGAAATATGTAGCTATTTAATATCTGAAAAATAGATTTTTTAAAACATTAAAAAGAAAGATAAAGACTAGTTCCATGACAACAGGTTCACTTTGCCAGGAAGATAAAAGATATTTAAATATGTATACACCAAATCATGTGGCCTAAAAAGACAACACAAAATTTGATAGAACTACGAAGAGTAGAGGAGTGTATAGATAAGCCACCAGTAAAGCAGGAGGTTTAATCATGCTTTTGGAAGCAGAATAAACACAACATCAGATTTTAAAAACATGACTTGACTGGACTCCAGGCCCCAGTGGCTTTACCAGTGAGATTTATCACATATTTAAGGGAGAAATAACTCCAATATTACATAAATCCTCCCAGCTAGAAAAACACATAGCACTCCCCAATTCATTTTATGAGACTAATACTGTCTTCATTCCAAAACCTAATAGGGACAGTTTGAGAAAGAAAAATTATAAACCAATTTTATTCAAAAATTGGACAAAACTCCTAAATAAAATATTAGTAAATGAAATCAATCTATTTTAGAAAGGAGTAATGCAACATGACCAAATTGGATTTACCTCAATAATTCAAGGTTGAGTCAACATTAGAAAAATCCATTATAAAGTCAGCATATTAACAGATTAAATGAGATAGTCTTATTTTAATAGATGCAGAAAGTTTGTTTAAAATTCATTCTTTTATGATAAAATACTGTTAGCAAATTTGAAACCTAATGGTAAGAAAAGAGAAAGTTTTCCTTTTGAATTAGCAAAGAGATAGATATCTATTATCATTTATATTTACTACTGCATTGAAGACCATAGGCAAGAAAAAGATATAGGAAAGAAAGAAATCTAACATTCATACATTTTGACTGTGTATATAAAGATTCTAAGTATAAATTAACATAACTAACATAAATTTAAGGTGGTTGAATAAAACATTTGAAATGAAATTTTAAAAATATCATAAGTATCACATAGCATAAAAAAGTATCACATACCTAGAAATTAATCTTGCAAAAGGCATTTCAGTCCTCTGGGAAGAACTTGCACAATTTTATTGAGAGAGATTAAAGAATACCTCAATCAATAAAAGAAGAGGTAGACCATGTTCATGGATTTTTAAGACTCAGTATGTAAACAGTCAATTTCCAACATATTGAATTATAAATTCAATGCAATCCAATCAAAATTCCAACAGGATGTTTTTCTGCCTAGTTTGTTTAAAAATACATGTGGAAATGCAAAGGGACAAGAATATCCATGACACACTTGAAGGAAAAGATAGTAAAACTACTCTATTTAGCAAAATGTAATTATAAGTCTATAGAGATTAAAACAGTATGGTTCTGGTACAGGAATAGACAGTTCTGAAATAGACACACACACACACAAAGACATCTGATTATGACAAAGAACAGTGAGGTAAGGACAAAGTTTTCAGTAAGTGTTACTAGGACAACTATAAATCCACATGAACAATATAAAATATAGGTGAAAAGCAAAATAATAAAACGTTGAGAATATAGGAGATTATATTCACGATTCCAGGGTCAGGAAATACTCTTTAAACAAGACACAAAACGGCTAATCTTTAAAAAAATGGTAAATATGTACTATGTTAAAATTAATAATTCTATCAGAATACCTCATTAAAAGAATTAAAAGGTAAGCTACACAGTGTGAAGATATAGTTTTAACACATATAACTGACAAAAGGTTTGTAGCAGACTATATAAATAACTATTACAAATCAGTAAGGAAACCCCAATAGAAAAATGGACAAAAGACCTGAACAGGAACCCATAAAAGATGATACGCAAATGTCCAATAAACAAATGCAAAGGTATTCTATCTCACTACAACCAAGGAAATGAAAATTAAGACCATGAGACACAACTAGATACCCACAGACTTAAAAGTTAAAGATGTTTTAACAATACCAAATATGTGTAGTAACAGGAATTCTCACAGCCTCCTGGCAAACATGTACAGTAGTAATACAACTAATGGGAAATTAGATTGGCATTATCTGGTAAAGTGGTTGGCAGTGTTTTGCAGGCAGCTTCTAGGATGGCCCCAATGACCTTTGTCTCCTGGTATTAACATTTTTGTGTAATCCCCTCCCCTTAAATGAGGGCTGGACATAGTGACTTGCTTCCAGTGAATAAAACATGGCAAAAACGATGGGCTGTCACTTCTAAAAATTAAGTTACAACAGAAAAATTTCCAGCTTTCTGGCTCACGCGCTCTCGCACGCTCTCTCTCTCTCTCTCTCTCTCTCTCTCTCTCTCTCTCTCGTGCTCATTCTGATGAAGCAAGCCACTATGTTGTAAGCTGCCCAAGGAGAGGTCCATGTGGCAAGAAAGCAATGGTACCTTCTAGTCAATAGCACAAAAGGAAATGAATCGTCCCAACAATCACGTGAATGATCTTGGAAGCAGATTCTTCCCTAGTTGAGTCTCAGGATGACTGCAGCCTTGTGAGAAACCCTGAGCCAGAGGACCCAGCTAGGCTGTGGCCAGGTTCCAGACCCACAGAAACTGAGATAATGTTTTAAGCCACTTAGTTTTGTAGTAACTTGTTATGCAGCAATAGCTACCTAATACAAATGTCAGCCAGGGAAGACTGTCTGTGTTAACTCAGCACCATAGCTCCCTTTCATGTTGCAGAACTAAGCATCTCAGGATCCCTTTTCCTGTATGAGTCCTGGTTTGTTACAGTCTGAGGAATGCACATGAGATACAGGGCGTAACTTTTTTTTTTTGGAATGTGTCACATGGCTTATGGGATCCTAGTTCCCTGACCAGGGATCGAACCCAGGCCCCGGCAGTGAAAGCACCGAGTCCTAGCCACTGGACTGCCAGGGAACTCCCTAGAGAGCATAACTGAGCTCAGCCAGAATCATGGTTTTCCAGCCTACTCCACCCACAGCTTCCCCGTCTCTGTTGGAGGAACTCTATCCTTTTAGTTGCCAGCCCAAAACACCTGGAGTTTTTCTTTTGGTCTCTAACACAGTATATCCAATCCATAAAGAAATCCTGATAGCTGTAGTTTTAGAGGACAGCCTGAATCTGACCATTTCTATCTCCTCCACTGCTATCCTGTCACCTTCACGGCATCTTCATTTCTTAAGAGTCTACTCTTACCAAATGCGAGTGATGCTTTTAAAAAGTCAAATCATAAACTCTGCTGCTCAAAACCATGAATAGCTCCCATTTCCAGAGTAAAATCAAAGCCTTATTGTGGCCCACATGCCCTACGTGATCTTTCCCTGTCTCCCTTTGGACCTCATCTCTACTGCTTCCCTCCTTGTTCCCTCTGCTTGCAGCCACAATGGCCTCCTTGCTCTTCCTCAAACACCCCAGGCACGCTCTGCCCTAAGCCGTTGCCTAGGCTGCTCCCTCCTTTCCAGCAGCTTTCCTCAAAGGGGGCTCTGTAAATCACCTAGATGGCTGATTCAATAGGTGTGGGGTGAGCCTGAGGAGCTGAATTTTCTAATAAGTTTCCAAGAGATGCTGCTGCTGCTGATGTGCGGACCATACCCTAGGGCATCTCTTGATGCAATATATTAAATTCTCTCCTATGCATCTAGAATAAATGTTACTACCATCCTGGGGAGAACTGTGAAAATAATCGCCAACACCATTTTGTCTTTGTTCAGGTGTCACCTTCTTAGTGAGATCTACCCAGATGATCCTACTTAATACTGTGATCTCTCCCCATCTCCATTTTCTCACCTCCTCCCTTACTTTCATCCCTTTTCTTTTTTCTGCCATAGCACTTAAGACCTGTACTGTGATTTACTTACTTGTATGTGGTTTACTGTTGCTCTACTAACTAGAATGTAAATTCCAAGATACAGGGATCTTTGGTTTTTATTCCAAGGGCTGAACAGACTTTTTTGAATATAAATGAAATACTTGATTTGCAAATGAGTTGAATCCTTTCACCTTCTCAGAATATAAACTCATTTTTAAAAAATGTACTAACTGAACTACATATGTTCATAGGAAGAGCACAGTAGTGGCAAAAACAGACTTTTGAGATCAGATACACCTGGATTCAAAAGTCAGCTTCACTATTTACTAGCTAGATGTTTACACTAGGTTAATGTCACATCCCTTGGGCTCAGGGTCTTTACTTTTTAAATGGTGGTAATAGGAGGTGATTGTTAAAAATTAGACAAATATATAAAAAATTTCTAGCACAGTCACTAGCAAAGTGACTAAGAAAGTGCTTGTCACTAACAAAGTGCTCAATAAGTATCACTTCTCCTTTGATACCTCACCTCCTCTAGCCCACATTTCATTTAAAGGACAGGCTAATTAAAAGCCAGTCTGTCTTTTAGTTCCCCATGGAACTATGTAGAAAGGCACATTTCTTAAAAATAAAAATCCCTAATGACCTTCAGGAGAACTCTGTTTTAAAACTTAACATTGACACCTTTTACCTAACCTTTCCATAGCAACTTGAGGTGAAAAGTTTTCCAGTGTACATCTAATATAGTGTAGACTAATGATAATACTTCTGACACTGGGAAAAGAAATACTTCAAGTTCAAGCCCCATAAAATATTGGAGTCTCCACTGACAGTATTCATCCACAAATGGGTTTCTGGGCAAGAGGCTCCTTGGGTTCTAGTGACCATCCTAAGTGGTACCGAAACCCCACTGCAGAACTGAAACCTCACATCTCTTCTCCCAAGCATTTTAGAGAGAACTGTTTACAAATGTGAATATTCTGCCTACCCGCCTCAGGTATAAATGCTCTGTACGAGAGCCTAACAATGACAATACTTTCACAGTTGTGGTGAAACGTAGGCGTGGTATTCGTACTGTTTATGCTGCACATTCATGCGTGACCTGATACTGCTGAAATAGTCTTTATTTCTGAACATTCCAAAACAGCAGTGTACACAGTAACAAATATGAAGTCATATACCATAAGAAAGCATTCATTAGTGCAAATGGATTTTGTAAAAGGTCTATCAAAAAGATTTATTTGCTTTAAAATGCGTTCATTTCCAGAAGCATTATTAATAAAATGTTACAGTTTCATCTTCTGTAAAAGTATTGAAAATCAATTGTAGTACAGTAGCAAACATTGCAGGTATTAAGTGCAATGAGCTTGTGATGCCATTATAAATATGAAACCCACGTATGACAATAAATTAACAATGAAAACAACAAGACCATTTCACTCGTTGTCTGGCTGTCTCAGTGTTCAATGCTTCAGATTACATTGTGCTCATTCAACATAATTTTATGTCTCTCAAATTGTTATGATGGATTTTTGCTGATATATCCCTAGAGCTAAAAAAATAGTACCTTACCACAAAAATATTTTTATGGCACAAAATTTAAGTTGTTCCACAGTGGTTCACGTAGGTGTAAAAAGAAATAGGCACAAAAAATAAAATTCCTGTAAACTATAAAAAAGTGAATTTCAAAGCATACGTTATAGAACCTGGTTGTAAAGATGCAGTGTATTAAAATACAGAACATGTAATGGGAAGATGTTTAGAACATGTAAGTAAATTGAACAAGTTACTTTAAGAAACTCAGATGGCAAAGAAAGCATTATGGATACATCTCAATTCTCTCAAAAAGGATTCAGGTACATATCAGTTCTACAAAAACTTCCTAGCTCTAAGTGTCACAATACTGCAACCATGGATTTGTGAACGCTGCAGTATCTCAGGCAAATATTTAAGTGCAATAATTAGTCTCTGGTGATTGGTCCATTGAAAAACAATGCAGTAAATATGTTAAAACGCAGAAGGGAAAGAATATCCCGACACCCGCTGTTACCCAGCCAGCTAGGTAACACGACCCTCATTTCCACTTCTTTCCAGCTGTTCAAACGTACATAGAACTGCATCAGTAGCAACCATCTCTCCAGTTTCCATCCCTCAGAGTGCTGAGTGAAGACAGAGGCTTTGGAGGCTGAAGGAAACTATAAAGGAATGAAAAAAGGACACGGCTTGTAAGTAATCCCACGAGTCCCATCACTTACTTTGATCTACTCTCCGCCACTCCAGCAGTGACAACGTGCTGGCACCTTCCCAAGTGTGCCTGTATTTCTGGGCCTTCAACATGCTCATCTGATGGAAAGCCCAGTTCTCGGCACGTTGCCACGCATGTTGTATGTGCACAAGCAGATTTGCAACCTAAGTGGAAAATGATCAATACCCTTAGTGTATAAAGAATATTTTAAAATCAGAAACAGATAAACTCAGGAGAAAAATGGCCCCAAAACATAAGTGGTTACTTCATTGAATACAAATTGAAAATGTCTTCATGTTATTCTGTCTTACAAATAATCAAAGATTTGCCTATTATATTGGCTGAGAATTTAAAAAGAATGATAATACCCAATGTTTGCCTAAGTTTGTGGAAACAGACCCTCTCATTGTCTGGCAGTGACAGCCCTTCCAAGAGGTTAGTTTGAAGACATATATACAAGGATAAATGGACTGTCCACAATGACCTACATACATCAAATTATGTGATTCTATTCAGTCACAACTGCAACACAGCCTGGCATTGAACAAACATGCACCAAAATGGTTTCTATCTGGAGAGTAGGATTACTCACTTTTCTGTGTTTGTTTTACAATAGTTTCTGAATTTGTTTTTGATCTGAGCACCTATTTATCGGAAAGTAAAAACTATTTATAGCTACCCGATGCATAAAGAAAAATTACTTGTTCTCACATCCTTTTCACACTTTTACCATGGTTCCCTCCCTCTCCTCCTCCAAATCCTAATTTCCTGTAAGAGCTGATTTACTGCCTCCATTTTCTCATCTTCTACTCTGTCCTCAACTTGCTTTTATGAATTGTTTTTAACCATAAGACACTCCAGGAGATCCAGTTCAAGAAGGGCACGTCACAACCATAAGATCATCGAACAGGTGCCCTGCAAGCAGGCTGGAATGTTGAAAGAAAAAAAAATTCTACCTGGAACATACCAAACTTACACCAACATAAGCTAATAAAGCCCCAGTTAAATATCACTAAGATGCTTTTAAAATCACGACTGTTGGGGGAGGGTGTGTATGTGCATGTGCCTAACGACATTTTTGCCCATTTTGATTACAAATTGATTAAAAAGGTATTAAATGCAGAGGCAGGAGGTCACGAGTCAGGCCAGAAGGGGCAGAGTGACCTGCCAGGGTTAGACAAAGGCAAAGTCAGGATGGTTCCCGGAGCAGTTTCTAAGTGCAGACTGCAGAAGAACGAGCAAAGGTTCTTACCTTCTGACAGGCTGTGCAATTTTGCTTCGAGGCAGGTTACTCCCGTTTATTGCCAACGAAGGTCTTGGGAGTGCGCTGCGGCCCACTATCCCAGAAGCTGCAGCTTTGTTGGGGGCAGGGATCCCCGTGTTGGAGTATAACTGTAAGCCGTTGGATAAAGGCATGTTACTGCTGCCTTGAACGGTTGGACTCACGTAGGCTGTGGCTTTAAGAGGCTGCCGGACAGACACTGGGAAATGTCCCACGCTGTGGATTCTGTGTTGAAGCTGCCCCGGTGACGGAACTAGAAGAACAAAGGACGCTCACATGAGAGAACGCCTACCACTATGTACACGTGTGTTATGTTCAAAGCAGCTGATACTGTTGAAAGGGTTTCACATGTATAGAAATTTATCTACATATATGCATGTAGATAAATGAAACACGAGTTCCAGACTGCATTTAGTATTGGAAAATTCTACTTCGTGACAAGCGTCTCCTACTCTGTCAATCAGCAGCAACATTTTTGAGTGCCTGACTATATTTAGAAGCCAGCTGGAACAACAACCTTCTTTCCTTTAACAAATTTGAGCATCTCTGAGTTCTCACAGGATTTCTTCCTTGCTTGCTTGGAAGACATTAGGATTTCTTGATGGTTGCACTGGGGATGGTTTCATGAGGATAAAACAAGGGGACAGGGCTTCCCTGGTGGCACAGTGGTTGAGAGTCCGCCTGCCGATGCAGGGGACACGGGTTCGTGTCCCGGTCCGGGAAGATCCCACATTCCGCGGAGCGGCTGGGCCTGTGAGCCATGGCCGCTGAGCCTGCACGTCCGGAGCCTGTGCTCCGCAATGGGAGAGACCACAACAGTGAGAGGCCCACGTACCACAAAAAGAAAAAAACAAGGGGACAATTTAATAGCAGTAATTATAGAAGGGTAGACAGGTGGCATTGGTAGGCACAAACAGCTTAGTACAGACTTTTTTTTTTTTTTTTTTGCAGTACGTGGGCCTCTCACTGTTGTTGCCTCTCCCATTGCGGAGCACAGGCTCTGGGCGTGTAGGCTCAGTGGCCATGGCTCACGGGCCCAGCCGCTCCACGGCATGTGGGATCTTCCCGGACCGGGGCACGAACCCGTGTCCCCTGATCGGCAGGCGGACTCTCAACCACTGCGCCACCAGGGAAGCCCATACAGACATATTTCTTAAATAATTTTCATCATGACATTTATCTCATAGGGTTGGTGGGAAGACTAAATGAGTTAATCCACATAAAGCCTTACAATGGCTGAGTAACCACTCAGCAAGTACTACCTTGATAACAGCAGCAGAATCTGTGAAATGAAGGGAGCTCTCTGGGTAAGAACCCTTAAGAACTTCATCAATATACTGGCCCATCATTGTGCACTATTTCACATTAAAAAACAATGAACTGTTTGGCAGAAATTTTAAAATTTTATAAATCCTTTTCTCCAAGGAAAAAACTGAATCACAAATTTAACATAAACTTATACATACATTACCTGTTGTTTACTAACCACTCTAGCCTCTGCTGCCTAGTACACTTGTGATGCGGTTAACACAAACAGACCCTGTTCTCTAAAACAGTTTAACTGATTTTGAACTTAGGCACAGAATATACAATAGATATCTGTGATAAAAAGTGAGGAGAAAGATAAAGTCTGTTTTTTTTAATATCTCTTGAAAGTATTTCCTTAAATTAGCTTTGTTCAACTATACATTAGTGAAATCTATATGTAGGAATGCTGATGTATGTGTATGGTAGCCAAAAAATACGATGAAAAGTGAGGTCTCTAAGATTCTGCTATAGTTCTGTTTCCATCAAGCTTTAGGGACACAGTAAACTTGTGTTGGCTGGCAAATCATCTCCAAGATCCTTTCCAACCAATTCTGCAATTCCTTAATTTAGTAGCATCTAACTGTGAATGTTCCAACATATTGGCTTATCAACTGTAACAAACATACCCCACTACTGCAAGATGTTAATAACAGAGGAAACTGGAGGAGGGGAAGGGGGACATGCGGGGATATATGGGAACTCTGTACTTCTTGCTCAATTTTTTTGTAAACCTCAAACTGCTCAAAAACAAAGTCTTAATTTTTAAAAAAAACTCAACAGGTGAATTCGGCCCAATTTCTTCTGAAACACAACATACATAAAGTACCTAAACGTTAAGCCTAGAGCAGAATGAAATTCTGAAGTGAACACACGCGTGTAACCATATCCACAACAAGACGTGAAACACTGCCAGCACCACAGCAGGCTCTCACATACCCTCTCCCAAGCAGCACTCCCCCAAAGTCACTGTTATTTGCACTTTTATCACCACAGACTAGTTATTCCTATGTTGAACTTCATGGAAATGGAATTATATAGTATGTTCTCTTCTTTGGCTCAATATTATGTTTTTGAGATTCATCCATATTTGCATTGCTATGGGTATTCCATTGAATGAATGTCAAAATCCATTCTCCTGATGATGAAAAGCTTGGTTATTTTTAAGTTTGGGGTTTTGTGAACATTCTTGAATATGCGTTGGTGTTCAGATGCATTATGTTATGGGTATATTCCAAATTTATAACTATTAGGATAAATGAAGTTATTAGCAAAGCTGCTGAATACAACATCAAAATACAAAAATCAACTGTATTTCTAAACACCAGCCAACTAGTAGAAACTAAAATTTGAAAAAGATACTATTCATAAAAAACATTTTAAAGGCCTGTGTCCTTGCCACTGAGCCACAGCCACCCCTGCCGCCACAGAGGACCCTCCTAAACTAGTAGATACAATTCAAGACTGAGTGAAAGATCAAGTGGCAACAAAATCTGAACTTGCCGTGTGGATGAAAGGCTCTTGGTGCTGCAGCCAGGAATCAGTGCTGTGCCTCTGAGGTGGGAGAGCCAACTTCAGGACACTGGTCCACAAGAGACCTCCCAGCTCCACATAATATCAAACAGCGAAAATCTCCCAGAGATCTCCATCTCAACACCAGTACCCAGCTTCACTCAACGACCAGCAAGCTACAGTGCTGGACACCCTATGCCAAACAACTAGCAAGACAGGAACACAACCCCACCCATTAGCAGAGAGGCTGCCTAAAATCATAATAAGGCCACAGACACCCCAAAACACACCACCAGACGTGGACCTGCCCACCAGACAGACAAGATCCAGCCTAATCCACCAGAACACAGGCACTAGTCCCCTCCACCAGGAAGCCTACACAACCCACTGAACCAACCTTAGCCACTGGGGACAGACACCAAAAACAACGGGAACTACAAACCTGCAGCCTGCAAAAAGGAGACCCCAAACACAGTAAGATAAGCAAAATGAGAAGACAGAAAAACCCACAGCAGATGAAGGAGCAAGATAAAGACCCACCAGACCTAACAAATGAAGAGGAAGTAGGCAGTCTACCTGAAAAAGGATTCATAATAATGATAGTAAAGATGATCCAAAATCTTGGAAATAGAATAGACAAAATGCAAGAAACATTTAACAAAGACCTAGAAGAACTAAAGATGAAACAAACAACGATGAACAACACAATAAATGCAATGAAAAATTCTCTACATGGGATCAATAGCAGAATAACTGAGACAGAAGAACAGATAAGTGACCTGGAAGATAAAATAGTGGCAATAACTACTGCAGCTCAGAGACCTCTGGGACAACATTAAACGCACCAACATTCGAATTATAGGGGTTCCAGAAGAAGAAGAGGAAAAGAAAGGGACTGAGAAAATATTTGAAGAGATTATAGTTGAAAACTTCCCTAATACGGGAAAGGAAATAGTTAATCAAGACCAGGAAGCACAGAGAGTCCCATACAGGATAAATCCAAGGAGAAATACACCAAGACACATATTAATCAAACTGTCAAAATTTAAATACAAAGAAAGCATATTAAAAGTAGCAAGGGAGAAATGACAAATAACACACAAGGGAATCCCCATAAGGTTAACAGCTGATCTTTCAGCAGAAACTCTGCAAGCCAGAAGGGACTGGCAGGACATATTTAAAGTGATGAAGGAGAAAAACCTGCAACCAACATTACTCTACCCAGCAAGCATCTCATTCAGATTTGATGGAGAAATTAAAACCTTTACAGACAAGCAAAAGCTGAGAGAGTTCAGCACCACCAAACCAGCTTTACAACATATGCTAAAGGAACTTCTCTAGGCAAGAAACACAAGAGAAGGAAAAGACCTACAATAACAAACCCAAAACAATTTAGAAAAAGGGAATAGGAACATACATATCGATAATTACCTTAAATGTAAATGGACTAAATGCTCCCACCAAAAGACACAGATTGGCTGAACGGATACACAAACAAGACCCATATATATGCTGTCTACAAGAGACCCACTTCAGACCTAGAGACACATACAGACTGAAAGTAAGGGGATGGAAAAAGATATTCCATGCAAATGGAAACCAAAAGAAAGCTGGAGTAGCAATTCCCATATCAGACAAAATAGACTTTAAAATAAAGACTATTAGAAGAGACAAAGAAGGACACTACATAATGATCAAGGGATCGATCCAAGAAGAAGATATAACAATTGTAAATATTTATGCACCCAACATAGGAGCACCTCAATACATAAGGCAAATACTAACAGCCGTAAGAGGGGAAATCGACAGTAACACATTCATAGTAGGGGACTTTAACACCCCACTTTCACCAATGGACAGATCATCCAAAATGAAAATAAATAAGGAAACACAAGCTTTAAATGATACATTAAACAAGATGGACTTAACTGATATTTATAGCACATTGCATCCAAAAACAACAGAATACACATTTTTCTCAAGTGCTCATGGATCATTCTCCAGGACAGATCATATCTTGGGGCACAAATCAAGCCTTGGTAAATTTAAGAAAATTGAAGTTATATCAAGTACCTTTTCCGACCACAACACCATGAGACTAGATATCAATTACAGGAAAAGATCTGTAAAAAATACAAACACATGGAGGCTAAACGATACACGACTTAATAACGAAGTGATCACTGAAGACATCAAAGAGGAAATTTAAAAATACCTAGAAACAAATGACAATGGAGACACGACGACCCAAAACCTATGGGATGCAGCAAAAGCAGTTCTAAGAGGGAAGTTTATAGCAATACAAGCTCACCTTAAGAAACAGGAAACATCTCGAATAAACAACCTAACCTTGCACCTAAAGCAATTAGAGAAAGAAGAGCAAAAAATGCCCAAAATTAGCAGAAGGAAAGAAATCATAAAAATCAGATCAGAAAT